AGGGCTGTGGGAAAGTGAGACCCACGGGGGGGGGGGGGTGCGTGGATTCCCCTGGGGAGGAGGCAGAGCTCTTCTTCTACCATCCAGCAACTGGCAACAGGATCCATGCAGGTAAACAGACTCCCCCCCCCCCATCAGCATGAAGCATGTAGGCCCCTTGAGGGCTCCTGGTGTCCTGGACCCACTGCTGGACCTCCTGATGGCCCCTGTTATTTTTGGCCACTGTGTGACACAGAGTGTTGGACTGCATGGGCCATTGGTCTGATCCATGGTTGGCTTCTCTGATGTTCTTATGAGCGCTTTGAAATGGAACCAGCTGGGTCCTTCCAGATTCCAGACCTGGTGCTCCCTGTAGATGGATGCTGGGGCAGCGTTGTCCCTCTGTAACGGGGCACTGTGGGGAGGGGACTGTTACAGGTGACCAGTGTTCCCTCTAAGCTGAGTTAGTGTGAGCTAGCTCACAGCTTTTTAGCCTCCGGCTCACACGTTTTTGTCCTTGCTCAGGAAGGATGGGGCTCCAGAGCAAACTAATTGATGCAGTAGCCAAATCGCTCACTCACAACTTCAATGCCGGTAGCTCACAGAGTAGAATTTTTGCTCACAAGACCCCACAGCTTGCAGGGAGCACTGCAGGTGACCATCTCCAGTCCTGGGAGAGCTGCTTGCTAAACAGGCACATGTGATTCCCCCCCACACACACAAGCTTCCACTGGCTCCTGGTTGGTAGACAAGTCGTTCCCAGCCCTGTCTGTCCAAGAGTAAAATCCAAAAGGCCAAGAACACGACCCGTGTCTGAGGAAGGGAATGTGGGCTCTCGAGAGCTCTGCCCCCCCCAAATTTCCCTGGTCTCTGAGGGCCCCCCCCCCACGGGGACTCACACCTCCCTGTTCCGCTGCAGACCAAGGCGGCTCTCCTCCTGGAACGCTCCAGGTCATACTTTTTATTTGGACCTAGCAGTGCCCAAGCTTTTGAGTTCACCAGAACGATTCATTGGGCCAGATGTTACAAAGGGGGAAAGCAGATGTTTCTGGGCATGATTTTAAGACCGTGCCAAGCCAGCATAAGAGGGATCTTCCAGTAGGCAAAGAAGAAGAAGAAGAGAAGAGATTGGATTCATACCCCTTGCCCTTCCCTCGGGAGTCTCAGAGCGGCTTACAAACTCCTTTCCCTTCCCCTCCCCACAACAGATACCCTGTGAGGTAGGTGGGGCTGAGAGAACTCTGACACAAACTGCTCTTTTTCAAGGACAGCTGTGCCAGAGCTTGTGACTGACCCAAGGTCACACCAGCAGGTGCAAGTGGAGGAGTGGGGAATCAAACCCGGCTCTCCCAGATTAGAGTCCGCGCACTTAACCACAACACCAAACTGGCTCTCTGGTCTCCAGTTGCGGCAGCCCAGGGGCCGTAAGAGCGAGAGGCAATAGATCAGACTCCGTCGTGACACATCCCCCACCCTGTTTGCCCTCTTCGCCGGTGAGAGTCCAAGACCCTTTTTTGGAAACCAATCAAGATGGGTGACTGTCGTGTCAGTCTGTCCGTAGCAGCAGAAGGTGCCAGGACTTTCTGCGTGCCAAGCAAAGGTTCTACCAGTGAGCCACAGCCCTTTCCCGTGGGGTGCTCTGTTCAGTCATTTATTGAACTTTTTTTGTATCTTAATGGCTATAAGTCTGATCTCTGCCAACACCACCTGCCGGTCCAGTCTGGCTACCCAAACCCTGGCCATGGGGAGGGGGTGACTCACCATCCTCAGAGGGCAACCGGCGGACAGTCCAATCGATTGCCCCCATGCTGACCTGCCTAAAGAAAGTGAGGGACACGGCAACTAGATGGGGTCTCTAACAGCAACGCAGGATGTGATCAGCTTGATCAGAGCAGGGAAGAAATGCTCGGGGGCGTGTGTGGCGAGATTAAGATCCAAACACGTTGTCTGTGTGGCTATCTGGTGTTTTAGGGCACTTTCCCTCCTCTTAAGCAAGCTAGATGGGTGTGTGTTTTTTAACCAAATATCTGTTCTGAAGCAAATAACTTGGGCTTATCTACTGCCAAGAGCCATTTAATTTGCTGTATTCCATTTTTATCTGCTGTGCTATATTTTTGAACAATCTGCTGTTGCTCATTGTTTTGCTTTGAGAGATGTTTCGATTGTTCTTTCTCATGGTGTGCTTTTATCTGTGCTCACCCCCTTGGAAAAGTCTATGCTGGGAAGCAGCAACCACATGCAAATACCCACCCATTCTGAGCCTCCGAGGGCTCGGGGGCAATGCCAGGGGGCAGCCAGCCTTGGTGCATCCATGCCATCTGTTTGTCCCTCCCAGGCCACTGACTGGCCCCTGGGTGAGACGGGAGGATGCTAGACTAGGTGGGCCCTCACTGCTCTACTTTCCATTCTCACACTCCTAAATAAAAGCAGCCCGATTCCAGCCATCTACAATGGATACTTCGTCTGGAAGCTGCCTTGTTTTCTGGCTGCAAGTCCTTTTTTTAGCACTCAAACTAACACCACTTTGATTCAGAAGGTCTCTACCGCCTCTTCAGAGGCCTGCTTGAGGTGGCTGATGGTTAAGAAAAACCATATTAAACCAGCGCTGAGCCCTTAGGCATCAGCAGCATAAAAACTACCCTCAAAACAGAAGCAGGACTTGGAGACGGAGTTTAAGAAGAAGAGATTGGATTTACACCCCATGGCCCTTCACTACCCAAGGGAGTCTCAGAGCGGCTGACAAACTCCTTTCCCTTCCCCTCCCCACCACAGACAGACACCCTGTGAGGTCGGTGGGGCTGAGAGAGCTTTGACAGAAACGGCTCTTTTTCAAGGACAGCTGTGCCAGAGCTGGTGACTGACCCAAGGTCATCCATGCCAGGTGCAAGTGGAGGAGTGGGGAGTCAAACCCGGTTCTCCCAGATTAGAGTCTGCGCACTGAACCACGGCACCAAACTGGCTCAGGGGCAGGCTGGACGGCCTGGCTCAGCACCGTGTGTGTAAAGTGGACCCATGAAGGGACTCTTGGGATGGGTGCAACTGGGAAGTGTGCTTCCCTGCTCTAGGCTTTTGAAAGGTCATGTGCCTTAAACCTCGTTGTCCACTCACTGTGCTTTCTGCTCCCGAGGCTAGTTCTGGGGGTGGGGTGGGGGGCGTGGCCCAGCAGTACAGCCCCTTGCTTGGCACGCAGAAGGTCCTCCCAGGTCCGATCCCCGGCAGCAGCATCTCCAGTTCAGAAGGGGGCAGAGAGCAGACGATGTGAAAGACCCCCGCCTGGGACCCTGCGGATCCAGGGCCATCCCGAGGGACTGATTCGGCACAAGGCAGCCCCACGTGCCAGATGGGAAACATCTGTGCCCCCCCCCGGACACCCCCTGCTTGGCCAGGGACTCGGCCAGCGCCAGGCTCCTTCTGCACAGGACTCTCACACCAAGAGGCCCCCCGCAGAAGCCTAGATCATGAGATGTCCATTTCTACTAGGAAACCACTAACTTCTGCGAGGAAGGAGCAGGGGGCACGCACAGAGGCGAAAACCTGAAATCTGAGAGAGGCAGTGGTGAATGTACTGCTGGAAACACTGCTCGTCCCAAAGCAACGGAACGTCAACTTCTACCCTTTATTCCACCCCCTCCCCACACATTTAATAACCTTTAAGAGGATTCGTTGTCACGCACTTTCTCTTTCCTCCCTTGACCTAAGCAACAGCACTGATCTGCGATTTCTGTGGCCTGGTGCGAGTTCCTTTCCTCCTCCTCCCAGCAGGAGAAACGGGAACAAGGGCAGCAGCAGCAGCAGGGAAGGAACTCTCCGTTCCGTGCTGGGAGAAGGGTTGCTAGGCTGTGTCTGGCGGCCAGGAGGAGGCTCAGGGGTGGGGACCCGGGGGAGGCACGGGGGGGGGGTGGACGGGGTGTGTGTGTGTGAACCAGGACGTCCCTTCCAGGAAAGCCAAACGGGAGGGGCCCACACGGCTCCAGAAATCCCCGGAGACACTCTGGTGAAATCCTAAAGTGCCTGACGATTCCTGTGTTTGACATGCCATCTAACTGAGACGTTTCACTTCGCTTGCCATATTTGCGCACGCTGGCCTGCTGACGGCCTTGAACCTTTGAAGGGAAGTAGAATAAAAACATGCCAGTAAAATTAATTCTCATTTTTCATTTATTCAACAAGATGTAACAGACAGGCACGAATGGCCAGTGTTCGAGCCCTCTTCAGTCCTGCGTCTGCTCCAGAACATCT